AAGCAACAATACAAATAAGCCCCCAGTTCCTTCAAAATACATGGTAACTACAACAATGGAACTGAGCACACCGATGATGAAGCTGGTACTCTCTCATTGCCATCCAGTCAATTCTGACTCAGAGCGGCCCTGTAGGACAGGACAGAACTGCCCTGGTGAGTTTGTTTCTGAGGCTGTAACTCTTTAAGGGAGCAGAAAGCCTTGTCTGTCTCCTGCAGATCTGACTGGTGGTTTCAAACTGCTGACCTTGTGGTTAGCAGTCCAACGTGTAACCACTGTGCCATCAAGGCTCTGTACTGGGTAGTTTTTGTCTATGAAGTTGCGATGGGCCTGAGTTGACTCAATAAGCAACTAATAACAAAACCACACACACCACACACAATCTTAATTATGTGACATTACATACACACACACACACACACACATACATGCACATACACAAGGGCTTCAAAAAGTTTGTGGATAAGCTCCATTATCTTTCAATTCTATTTTTCAAGGGATTTCTTGAAGCTCCCTTGTATGTTTAATTTCTCTCGATTTCCAAGTTCTTATCCAAAATATAGAGGAGTTAGAGGCTACTTTGAAAGCATTTTTAGCTTTGGTAGGATAGATTACATCTCAAAACTCCAAAAAAAACCTTGGGGAGGGCAAAATGAGCTGATACCAAGGCTCAAGTAGAAAGAAAATGTTTTGAAAACGATGATGGCAACATATGTACAAATGTGCTTGACACAATGGATGTATGCATGGATTGTGATGAGTTGTACGAGCCCCCAATAAAATGATTTAAAAACAAAAAATGAAAAACCTAATCAATGCTCTAAATATGTCCTTCACAACCAAAGCTTCATTTTTCAGTCTTCCACGTGATAAACGCGGTGCCTGAAATTAAGAGTAAAACAGCATCTCGGTGACGGCACCATGAGTAGGTAGGTAACATCACACAAACACAGTTTGCCAGAGGAGAGGCCGCGCTTGTCAGCAGGCCTGGGGCAGGGTGCACGCAGAGCTCCTCCCGCTGCGCCCTGTACAGTTCTGCGGTCCAGTCTGAGCCACCTCGGCGAAACCCCGCTCCTCTATCGACAGGCTGGTTGGAGAAACGCTGCAAACCAAGCCTCCTCTAGAATATCTATCCCCACAAATCCATGGACGGCGCGGATAATTCTGCACTTCAGGGCAAATTTAACTGTTTATCGCAGCATTTCCCCAATGCAATTAATCATGGAGGCCTCTCCCAGCGAACACCTATTAATAAATCAACAGAAAACTGTGAGTGTTACTGAAAGCTCGGGTGGAAAGGACCAGTTATCACTACGTTAAAGGAGAGCTTCTCGTCTTTTGTAGAATTGTATGCAGGAACATGTGCGTGTGCTGCGAACAAAGATACCATTAAAACAGGGCAAAAACGTGTTGCATAATGTCACAGGTCACGCCAGTGTCAGAACCAGCAGACCACAGTGATGCAGTGCACCATGAGGTCCTTTCTGTGATAATGCCTGTGAATTTATCTACAAACAACAATAAGCAAAGCTGCAATTTTTTTGAAGCTCTGTTGGAAATATTACTTTCTTTTTAAAAAAATGGAAATTCTACAGAGAACACGTCACAAACCCTTACCTTCTGTCTTAGAAACTCAAATTATCCTTCAAATTTCAAATAGGAATCAAGTGAGTGGGAAGGACATCATGTAATAAAGGAAAAGCTTTCAGTTGCATAACTAAGCTAAATCAAAATGGCAAAAACCCCTACATGCATATGCAAATTCCTAAATCCTAGACTTAATGCAAATAATTATGGCATAGGAAGACTATTCTTCTTCCACGTAGCTTCATAAATTAGTAGCAAAACTAGATCATCGATTCGGTTTTGGAAAAGATCTCATCTTCTCTCTATTATTTAAAGCTAAAGTCCTCAACCAAAAAAACAAACAAACCAAAAACTAAACCCTCCCAAAACAAATCCTACCATTTTGCTTTTGCCTGAATGTTTCCAGTGACCTATTTATAGGAACAGTACCCGGGGGGGACCTGAGAGAAAGTTTCCCTGGTGAGGGAGTCCAGGAGAAAATACACGCTGGGGAGAGCAGTTATTTGCACAAGTCTCCGACCTTTGGGGTTAATAGGAAGCAACTGTTTTCAAAAGAATCAAAGCATCAAAAAGAGGGCTTTTCTAAAGCCGACATCAGCAAATCCTTGGGATGGGAAGGTTCCTAAAGAAGACATTCTCTAAGCTATAATGTGAAGAAAGCTGAGCTTTCAGAGATCTTGGAAATATAGGCATGGGAATAAGAATTTCTCCGCTTTTACTCAGCAGGCTTCAAGGAGAGACATGTTCTCTGAGAGACAGTAAATTGTCATTACCCCAAGATGACGCAGTTCTTTGCACCCCCAACTCTCTTTGGGCAATTGAACTGATAGATCACTTGACTTCCTGGACACCTTAGCAGGAAGGAGCAAGGAGGGCCGTATCCAGGATAGCAGGCATGAGGATTCATGGCAAGGGCACCTGTCTCTGCTATGTTCACATACTGCCTCATGGTTTTACTCCGGCGTGTGTGGATGTGTGCATCTGGTTAATAAAATCCATTTCCTGCTTGTCTCCTTGACTCTAGGTGCACTTCTGAGTCTAGGAGCTCACCTAAACTTTGGATTGTGCGCCTCACCCTGAGATACTCCCAGTATGCTCTCCTTGACGCCATTTATGTCATTCTAAAGTTACACCAGTCTGACGTCTGCTTTTTAAGTCTCTATATTTAATGAGTTGAACTTTTCTTCCTTATCATGTTTAAACACATATTCAAGACATGTCCAAACTTTCAAAAGAGCTTGTTGGTCCTCCGGAGATGAATCTCAGAACAGACCGTCAGGATGGAAGAAGGCTCCTTCACGGTCCGCATTACGCAGATGACACAACCTTGCTTGCTGAAAGCAAGGAGCATTTTCTAATGGTGACCAAAGACAATGATCTCTTTTTCATTGAGGTGGATGGATTATACCTCAGTCAGAGAAAACAAAAATCTGCACACTTAGACCAATAAGCAACATCATCATAAACAGAAAAGAGACTGAAGCTATGAAGGATTTCATTTCAGTTGACTCCACAATCAACAACCATGGAAGCAGCGGTCAAGAAATCAAACAATGTTATCTAACTGGGCAAATCTGCTCTTCAAAGACTGTTTAAACTTATTAATTGGGAATTAATACATACATCATATAATTCCATAGTTCAATCACCTCAAGCAGAATAGTACAGTTGCTACCACAATCAGTTTGCAAACATTCTTTTTCTTTCTGGACTCCTTGACATTATCAATCTTTTACTCCAGCACGCCCAATGTACCGCTTCTCCCACCCAAAACCCATATTCTATTTGCTGTCTCTATAGGCTCATCAATCCTGGGTTTCATATACCGAAAACACATAACACAACTTCAAGAGGGTGACCACCAATGACATAACTCCTCTGAGATACACCCTAATATGAACAAACAAAAACCACACCACACAATACAAACCCAACATACAGAAAATGTTGAACACCAGATCAGGTACAGCATGCAACAGAGGGGGGATCAACTGACAGAGTTTTAACTGTTCAAGTCAGCTTTGTGCCTTTGATTTTCTATACTCATCTCTCTAGTGCACTCTGTTTAGTAACCACTTTCCTCCCAACCCTCAGTTATGGATAGAGGGATAGAGGAGATCATCGGAGGCGTATTTCTTATGTAGTTCCCACAAATGAATCTTGGGTTCCGACTGTCAGCCATAGCCTTCTGCAAACCAGATTCTCCTCCGTTAGGCCCTCCTTCGACTTCGGATGATACGATTTACAATCCTTTGGTGACTGATGATGGCGTGCTTCTTCCATGTGGACTTAGTTGACACAAAGACCCCTTTAAGGTGCTAAACAATTCGAGATGTCACTTTAAGGACTAAGGTGAGCCGGCCTCAAGTCAAGGTTATTTTCATGGGCCTCCTGTGCAGGTGAGAGCTGGACAACGAATACGGGTGACTATGGAATATACCATGGAATGAGGAAGGAGCTTGAGAGAAAGTCCGCCAGCACGCGTCTCACAAGCAAGGATGGCAAGTATTTTGGATGTGTCTCAGGAGAGACTAGTCCCTAGAGAGGGACATCATATTTGGTACAGCAGCGGGTCACAGAGATGGCGGGACACAGTGGCTACAGCCCTGGGCTCCCACACAGCAATGACCGTGAGGCCGGTGGAGGGCTGGGCAGGGTTTCCTTCTGTTGTACACAGGACGGCGATGAGTTGGAACTGATCTGAGGACACCCAGCAGCCACAGCACAGCCACAGCCACAGCACACATGGACGCAATATAATCTTCCTCTGCAGGGAGAATATTTGAGCAGGCTTCTGAAAGGTTGGCCCATTTGGTTGCTTTTCAAGGAATCAACTTTGAGTTTCTGTGATTTTTCTCTATGGCGTATCTATTCTCTATCTCATTAATTTCTACTCTCAATCATTTCCACCCACAGCTCTTCAATCCATTACCATTTTGTTATGTACTAGTCACATACGTTTAGCAAATTCATCTTTTATGATGGTTTCAATTTTCTCTGGTTTTCTAATCGTGTGCACGGCTTCATTTCTGATCACAGATGACCTCAGGTTCCACTCCTGCACTTGCTCAACTCCTGCTATCTCCAGCAACCCATGCCCTTTACTCAGACAAGCAGACGTAGTCATGGCCCATCACACTTGCCTCTAGACTCTTCAAACTCAGTGGATCACTTTCCTCCTTTCCAAACCACGTTCTTTCCCCCTCTTTAAAAGAAAGGGGCCCCCAAACTCCGTTTCCTTTAGGAAGACTTCCTAGCCTCACTCCTAATGTCCCTTCCTTTGGTCACTCCAACCATGCGCCACAACCATGCATCACAACACATTGACCATGCAGCCAGTCACGTGCCTGCAGGACGGAGTTTCAGCCCCTCAGCCATTTCCTTCCAAGGGGGTCAGCTTCCAGCCGTCTTACCTTACGGACATGGCAGGAGAAGAGGACGTTCATGTATTTGTCCTTTCGTTTCAGCTCATTAGCAACGGGGACAAAAGTGCCTGAGGTCTGCGGTGTATCTGGCTTCTGAAAGAAAAAGTAGGAAATACAAAGATCAAATGTGTCTGCTTAGCTTGTCACATGAAAAGGCAGCTCCCAGTACCCGGTGTATAACGGCGGGCACGCACACAGTTCCACACGTGCCCTTTTCAGCTCCCCAGACCAGATGGCCAACCACCCGCAGGCTGCTCTAACACCGGAGGGCCTCAACATTGTTTAAAATCAGAAATGGGAGGAAGGAGGCAATGCAGCTTGGAGAACAATCAATAGAAAAGTGGTTATTCCAATAGTCGCTGAGTTCTGCGAGGGAAGGTCAGGGTACAGTATGTTTCTAAAGCAACCCAGAGAACCCTTTTTAAAGGTGGGATGAGTAACGGAAAACATCAGATCGTGCACAGCTAGGGGCAGGAAATCAACTTCTTGTCAGTTAGTATTGCTCACAGAAATGCTTTCGTTTCTGAAGGTGTTTTATTCTTTCTACCAACGCTGGGAGAGAAAGATCTTTTGTCTTTGTTAGGGAGCAGAGAGAGACTCTGAGCTTACCGAAGCAAGATAGTTCCCTTCCCAGGCCCTCTGGAGCCCGAGATCAGCCCTCTGACCCTTCAGCATCTCCATGGCGGCAACCTTCGCCCTGACCTGGGGCAAATCTGCAGCAGGAATGTTCTGGATGAGCCGGGATGCTCTCCATCTACAAGTAAATGCACAGCACATTAAAGACACAACCCGAACCGCTTTTGGAATCAACTGCAGCTGCCGTTAAGCTTAAGAATTAAACCAAACGACTTCCATGTCTTATCTATAGAAAGTACACGGATTCCAAAACATATACAGAACTTGTTAAGATATACATGCTTTTTCTTTCATGCTTTTTAAAAAATGGGCAGATATCTTTGTTAAATTCACTTTGTTGTATGAAAATAACAATTTATATTCTATCAAGGGACCACGAGGGTGGGGGGGGGAGAAAAGAGGAGCTGATCCCAAGGGGTCAATAGAAAGTAAATGTCTAGAAAAGAACGATGGAATCTATGTACAAATATGTCTGATACAACTGATGTATGGATTGTAACAAGAGTTGTAAGAGCCCCCAATAAAATGACCTTTTAAGTAAAAAAAAAAACGGAACAACTAGAACTTAGTGATACATGAGTCCTCATAATACATGTTTAATTCAGAGCATAGGACTTTTAGCATTATCATCCATTCATGCACCAAACGTTACCTGGGTACCTGTCATCCTCCAGGCACTGCTCTAGGGGGTGGAGGTAGAGGAGTGAGCACACCTGACAAGGTCCTCTCAGGTGATCACAGTCCAGGGAGGGGAGACGGCCATGAATCCAGAAATGAGTAAATATAAGGTGTGAGTTACAGTGCCACGTGCCATGGAGGAAAACAAGCTGTGTACGCCAAGTTCAGGAGGGAGAGCAGGTGTTATCGGTTAGGACGGGGCAGGGAGGCACCGCTAATAAAAGGCTATGTGAGCAGAGACCTACAGGGAGTGGAGGGGCAGTTGCATGTACATCGGGGCCAGGGTATTCCAGGAGGAGAACACAGCAAGCAAGCAAGTACAAAAGCCTAAAGATGGAAAGCCGTGAACTTGTTAGGCGGGTGAGCAAAAGCAAAACAAAAACACCCCACAGTCACCATGGAACACTTCAACACACCTCTCTCAATATTCCACAGATTAGGTTGTTTGTTTTTTTAAGCAAGTATCAATTCAATGGAATAGAGAGACTACATCAGGGGATGATGAACTGCAGCATGAGCCACACTGGACCAGGGGCTGCTTTATACTGGGCGCGAGCTAAGAATGTTTTTGATCTTTTGAAAAGAGTTGCAAAAACCAAACCCAAACAAGAAGAATCAATGACTACACAAAATATTTGCTCTCTGGCCACTGATGGAAAGGCTTGCGAATGCCTGGCCAGATGATCAGAACTGTGTGTGTGTTCTCAACCAACAAGCAGAGCAGATGTGTTACTTCCAAATGCTCAAAGACGTGGGACCGTCTCCTGCATGCGTGTTTGCCACTGCATCCTGGGGACTTAAGGCAAAAGCCTGTGACACATTAGGTGTTAAACAAGTACCTGCTGAAGGAATAAATGGCATTTTATAAGAATTAATAAAGTCTAGGCCATAAATAAAAAATCCTCAAACTCTGAAAAGAAGACTATGCAGGTCACACAGTACAACATAACTGAAATTATTAACAATTTTTATTAACAAAAAATGTGCAGCACTGAAAAATACGTATTGTTTATTGTCACAGACAGTGTTTGTTATTATTATTTGCTGTCATGGACAAGTCTCTAGACATATATTCAAGTCACATAATTATACATAAACAAAGACCCAAACTCACTGCCTCTGATCGATGCCGGCGCACAGCGACCGTATAGGTCAGGGTAGAACTGCCCCTGAGTTTCTGAGACTGTAACTCTATTGGAGTAGAGAGCCCCATCTTTCTCCCATGGAGTGGCTGCTGCTTTTGAACTGCTGACCTTGTGGTTAGCAGCCCAGTTCGTAACCACTACACCACCAGGGCTCCTGCATAACAATCCAGATAATAGAATTTAGCTTGTGTTAAAAAGTGCTGTGAGATGTGAGATGTAGGCATATGGGTCATAATTATGAGCAAACCTCTCCTCGGTGCTTACTGCGTGTTCGCATGACATGAAATGCTTTCTGCATATGCACTCCTAATCTTTTACGAGGATTAGGCATACGTGTGCTACGGTGAGAAGCCTTTTACAAATGCAGAGACTGAGGCAGGGAGAGGGGTGACGTTTGCCCACATTGCACAGCCAGCCTGTGGCCGGGCAGGAGCATGAAACCCGGGTCTGTGTTTCTAACCCTTACACGGCCATGCTGCCCTGTGTGTGTGTATGGATAAACGCACAGAAAGGATTCTCCTCGTTGTTAAGGGGGAAAAAGACGAAAAGAAAATGGCAGAGAACTAAAGGGAAGTGTGGAGGGTTTCAACTTTATCTTCAACATATTTTCATATCATTTCCATGCACTCAGACATAATTACTTTTTACATGATGTAAAAAAATTCAGGTACATAGGACATTGGTTCATCAAAACAAAACAAAACAAAAACAACAAAAAATGTGCCCATGCCTTGAAAAGTCTGCCCCAAATCAACCTGTAGAGTATTACTCTGAAGAATAGAGGTCCTTTTGCTCTCAATAAGTCTGTATTATTTAATTTTTTTTAACGAGCAGTCATTTTCTCAAGCAAATGGCTACATATCTGAAACACATCCCTCTTCCTTTCTTTTTAACTCCTTTGAAAGTCACAAAAAGTGAAATTCAGTGGAAGGTGAACTTGAATTTAGTGCGGAACTACCAATCAGGGACCGGGCATTCAGGCTGTCAGTTATATTTCATGGTGTTCTTTGGGGAACATCATGATCCCAAAGGCCACGCTGGAAAGGCACTAGCGTAGCTTTTGAGACTCCATTGATCGTCGACGTCAAGACGATGCTCAGTGTCCCTGGAGCATGGCCGCTCCTCGTTACCGTGGAGTCGATGCAGACTCACGGAGACCCGGCAGGAGGCGCAGCGCTGCCCACAGGCTCATTTCCGAGACTGAATCTTTACTGAGGCAGACAGACGGCCACATCTCAGAGCAGCCGGTGGGTTCGAATCCCTAATCTTCTTGTTGGCAGCGTTTTAACTGCTGTGTCACCAGGTGTGTACCAGATAAAAATAGGCTCAACAAATGAAGAGAAAGAACCTCAAAACAACCACTAGCTCAGATGCAGGGCAGCTTATAAAAGAATGAAGATCAACGGAAAAGGTGCCAAATTTTCACGGGTGTGCTCCTTTTATTTTAAAAATAGCTTCTCTATAAAAGCCAAAAACAAAAACAAGAAGCATTGCCCTTTCCAGGATAGGTAGATCTATAAAGACAGTAACTGGATCGGGACAGGGCGGGGCAGGGGAGGATGGGCGAATGAGGAACTAACAACAATGAATAAGAGAAGGTAATCAAGCGGCCATCAAGCTCAGAAGCAACAAAGCCCACACGGAAGAAGCACACCAGCCTATGCGATCATGAGGTGCAAGGCATCATCAGAACAAAAAATCTTACCATAGTGAATGATGGGGGGATTGTGGAGTGGAGACCCAAAGCAGGCCACTGGAGACCCCTTTACTGGAGACCCCTTGCAAAGGGGTCTCTGTCTCGGTCTCGGGGAGAAGACGAGCCAGTCAGGGGGCGATGTAGCAATGATGAAAAATACAACTTTTCTCTAGTTTCTAAATGTTTCTTCCCCACTCCCCCTATCATGATATGAATTCGACCTTGCAAGTCTGGCTAGACCAGAGGATGTACACTGATACAGATAGGAACTGGAAACACAGGGAATCCAGGGCGGATGATCCCTACAGGACCAGTGGTGTGAGTGGCGATACTGGGAGGGTAGAGGGAGAGTGGGTTGGAAAGAGGGAACCGATTACAAGGATCTATATGTGACCTCCTCCCTGGGGGACGGACAACAGAAAAGTGGGTGAAGGGAGACGTCAGACAGGGCAAGATATGACAAAATAACAATTTATAAATTATCAAGGGCTCATGAGGGAGGGGAGAGCGGGGAGGGAGGGGAAAAATGAGGAGCTAATGCCAGGGGCTTAAGTGGAGAGGAAATGTTTTGAGAATGATGAGGGCAATGAATGTACAAATGCACTTTACACAATTGATGTGTGTATGGATTGTGATAAGAGTTGTATGAGCCCCTAATAAAATGATTAAAAAAAAAGAGAAGAAAATGTTCTGAAGTTGATTGCAGCGATGACTGCACAAATCTTAATGTGATCGACCAATTAAATTGTATGATACGTGAACTCTATATCAAGAAAATGATTTGAAAACAGAAAGAAAAGCTTGCCCTTAAACATGTTCTCACACTGAGTTGCGATCTGTGATCAGTTGGGAAACTAGAAGCACTTCTTAGACATCCCCCGCCCCCCTCCCAGCCACTGCCATCAAGCGTATTCTAACTCACATACACACAGCTTCGGGGGCTAGGAACCTTTATGGGAACGGACGGCCTCTTCTTTCTCCCTCAGTGAGGCTGAACCGCCGACCTTCAGGTGGGCAGCAGTTATGGGAGTTTCCCCGACAGCGTCCTCAGGGCCCCCTGGACCTGCATGAAGTATGTTTTCTACAGCTCGTGATTGTAGGTATGGGAAGGGGCACCACTGCTCGGAGCACAGTAGCCGACTTTCAAGTTTTAGGGTGGCAATCTTAATGAATCACCACTTCACTAATACACAAACAGAGGCCACTTGCGAGCAGCTTATATCAAATAGGACCTTGGATTCAGGGGTGGTGGCCACAGGAAGAATGGGTGGGTGGGTCCATTATTTCAGTAGGCAATTGGATGTCCTTTGAAGAAATGAAATCTATAAGACTGGGGACGTAGAAAGTGAACGAAGCGGTTACAGCAGCCGAGAGCTGAGCCGGCATCCTGGTTTTGGATTTGTGGTCTTATCGATGAAGCGTGCAGCCACGCACAGACGCAGCACATGCACACACACGTTCTTACCGATTGAAAATGGCTTGCAGGGCCTCCTCGAATCGGTGAAGGACTTTGGGAGGGGTTGGCCACTTCACGTGCTTGCCATAGTCGCGCATGGTCTTGATCCCCTGGAAGCGGCGGCCCACTTCCTGGATGTAGGACTTGACTTTGTAGCGGCGGTAGTACCTGATTATCGTCAGTGCTGCCTTGGTCCTCTTGTACCGCATGCGGGCCAGCGTGCCCCGCCACACCTTCACAACGGAGGACGAAAAAGGGGAACGTTACTGACTGGCTGATTGGCCAGATGGTAGATGCCTTTGGAAGGACAGACGCTCCTGTACTGAAAACAACAACCAGAACGACAAGTTCAATGGGAGCCAAAGCGTGCCGCCAACAGGAGGTGCTACTAAGGGCCAACTGGGTTCGCTGTTCCTCATTATGCCTTGGAGGGTGTGACCCGGTTTGCAGCAGAGTTCACTTTAACTTTACCATGATGAAAAGGAGTCAAAAGGCAAGCATCTGAGAAGAGATGTCTTAAAAGATTTGAAAAGGAGCAAGATGAGTCAGAAGTAAGTGCCGTCAGCACCTACAGTTCTCTTGGGAAACCCAACTTTGCATCATTCATGCACACTGGCCACCGATGTCCGAGAGAAAGATGAGGCTTTACTCTTGTCAAGAGTCACAGGCTTGGAAACCCACAACAGCATTCTACCCTGCTCTCTCGAGTTGCTAAGAGTCCAAATCAGGCGTCCTCAAACTACGGCCCGTGGGCCACATGTGGCCCGCCGGAAGACATTTATCCAGCCCGCTGGGTGTTTTTGCCCCATTTGTTTTTTCACTTCAAAACAAGGTATGTGCAGTATGCATAGGAATTTGTTCACAGTTTTTATTTTAAACTAGAGTCCGGCCCTCCAACGGGTCTGAGGGACAGTGAACTGGCCCCCTGTTTAAAAAGGTTGAGGACCCCTGGTCCAAATTGTCTGGATGGCAGTGAGGGTCTGTTTTTTTTAACTTGGCCACCATTGTAATGTCACTTTGCATTTACAAACAGAGTCAGGCACAGCCTGTGCACTCCACCCACCTGCCCCCTCTGCGTACGCTCCTGAAAATGTAGGTGTATTCCTAGGGAAAGGGCACAGCCGATTACCGATATGATAGGAATCTTTGTTAAGTTTTTTTCCTTTCACTTAAGCGGTCAGAAATCAATCAGACAACATAGAATTATCTCAAAGCCAGCTTCATCCAAGCACAGTGAGGTCTAAGATAATAATTTTCCCCCCAGGCTCCTCTGTCCAAGTATCCGATGTTTCAATCTCTCAAGCAAAAACAACTTGGGTGGAATATTTGGTTGATCCTGGGCTCCTTCCCTCCTTATCTTCTCTACCATCAAACGTACTCATTCTTCCACACCATTTCCAGCAGAAACCTCATCCTTTCCCTTTCCACTTGCGCATTACCCAAGGTCCCAAACGATCCCAATCATTCTTGTATCAACTCCATGTACCGTCTCTCCCCTCCCCTCCATGTTCCGGGTGATAGTTAATGCTGCTGCTACCTAAATAACCTTTCCACTTCTTAGCCTTCCTTCCCTTGGCTTTTCAGAACTAGGATTTTCGTTGGTTCAAAGACCACAGAAATGAGTAGATGCTCTCCAGACTCCTCCCTCAGGTCCCTTTTATTTCCTCTGAAATCCTGGCCCGTGCCCACCAGTCTCTCTCAGAGGAGCTTGCCTGACGGGGTGGGGGGGGGGAGCTGTGTTCATTTCAGGTCTGACTTCATGCAGACTCTTCTACTAGCAGTCTGCACTGGCGATGCGCGCCGTGTTCAGCCGCCTGCACAATAAAGATGGATTTGTTTGCATGCTACGTGTCAGGAGCTCATCAGAGGATCCCAAAGAGGGAAACAGAAAAACAACCCTACAATATCAAAGGCAAATGTGGCATGAAAGCAGTTTGTGATGGAAATCTAGAACCTGAATGTAAACAAATATCTAAAGACCACAAGGCAATGGAAGCGAGCTCCTTACTCTCCGTGGATTGCGTTCGGGAATGTTTTCAGTCAAAATGGCTTTCCTCCTCGCAGATGGCTGTGTTACGCCCCCACCCAAATGCTAAAATAAAGGCCACTCCTTTAGTGTCTTGGAAAACCAAAGGAATACAATTATAGGGTCGAAGTATGTGATTCCATCTCTTCAACAAAATGCAGTTGTTTTTTAAAAGTTTCATCGTGCTGGTACCTGTTTTTCTTTAAAAAGGAGCCTCCCTGTAGTCACATCTATATAGAAAACCAATCTTAACTTTTCAAAAAGGGTTTTATAGAATTTTTTTTCTCATTAAAATGTTTTTGGTTTGTGAGTGAAGGGAGACAACAGCGTAAGACATGAAATACGATAATAATATATAATTGATCAAGGTTCATGAGGGTGGGAGGGTGGGGAAAAAGAGCAGCCGATACCAAGGGCTCAAATATGAAGAAAATATTTTAGAAATGTTGATGGCAACATATGTACAAGTGTGCTTAATACAATTGAATGATGGATTATTATAAGATTTGTAAGAACCCTCCAATAAAATGATTAATAAAAAAAGCCGTTGGTTTGATTTTCTTATCTATTAGAAACAAACAAATAAACAAACCCCATTTCATAAGTTCTTTCTGAGAAGCACTTTCCCAGCTCCCCCAGCCTTGAAAATGTCAACTCTTTTGGGGGCTTATTTAAATATTGTATCTGAGAAAATCGAGTAGTACTAAAAGGCTCCCATAAGCAGCCCTTCCTCGGTCCCACCCAAACAAGCACCTCTCAGGTTCACTCCACAAAGGCCAACGATCCTAGTGGCTACTTCTGGTGTCATATATACAAATAATATACAATACATGGCATCCCTTGTTTTATAGCACTCAGCTTTACTAAGCTAAGCGGATAATGCATTTTTAAAAAAAATTTAAAAATGAAGGCTTGTGGAAATGCTGGACCCTAGGAAGAAAGGCCTGGTGATTTATTTCCAAAAAACAGCCAATGAAAACCCTGTGGATCACTACTGATCAACACTGATCATGGGGATGGCCCAGGACCGAGTAGCTTCTTGTTCCGTAGCCTGTGGCGTCTCCCTGCGTTGGGGGTTGAATGGATAGTGGCAAACAACAGCCTTGCCAGACTGAGGAGTGAAACGTGGCTGCCCTTCCTTAACTCTATCATGCAGACTTGGTTTTTTACCCGTGGTTAATAACGGTCTCATTTTTAATTTGCTTTGTTTTCTATAGGCCAACTATTTTTCTGTAAATGCACTCGCAGAAAAATCAAATGATCAGCAGTAATATTTCTAATTGTTAAGCACAGAAATGGGCCCTTTCTCTGTGATGCTTCCGATATTTCTAATTGTTAAGCACAGAAATGGGCCCTTTCTCTGTGATGCTTCCGATGTGCTCATCCTCCAACCTGGGTTGATCTGGAGGCCCACGGAGCAGCTTCTACCCTGGACTTTTCCCCACCACTCTTCACTGTTGGTTCCTTCATTCTTTTTTAAAAATTTTTTATTTTATTTTTTTTGGTTCCTTCATTCTTGAGTTCTTTTTCGGCATTTTCCTCCCTTCAGTGGTTCCAAGAATGGTGTGTGGTAAATTTCTATTCTTTCATTTCCTTCCGAGTGCAAAGCAATGGCCTGAAATATGAAGATCTTTCTTGGGGTTCCAAAAATGGAGTAGTTGAGGGCAGGCTTTGGGATCAGACGAAAGAAACCCAGAACCAAACATGCTTCTGTTGAGTAGGTCCCTCCTTTCTAGGTTCCATCACCAGTGCCCTAATGGTGCAGCGGGTTAAGCACTGGACCACTAACCAAAAGGCTGGCTGTTCAAACCCAGCAGCTGCTCCGTGGGAAAAAGATGAGGCAGGCTTCTTCAGTCAAGTGCATCATTTCAGAACCCCATTCAGAGTGGAATTCCTAGCAATTCCACTCCGTCCTCCGTGGTCGCTGTGAGAACAAACTTGACAGAAGTGGGCTGAGTTTGTGGGTTCGCTCTTCAAATCCTGGTCCCATTTCACAGGAGCTTGGGCAAGCTTCTTAATCTCTCCAAGTCTCAGGTGGCAGTTACATAACCTTTTGTCAACTTGTGAAGGGGTGGAGTCTAGCCTGTCAATCAGGTCACAGCTTGATGACCTCATTTGGAGGTGCCATGGAGATAAAAAGCTCACTGGAGGCCAGATACACACTCACTCCCTACGAGACATTTCTGCTGACAAGGCACATAGAGCTAAGCTGATGGTAGCCAGAGCCTTGGAGCTGGAGATCCACTCCAACATTAAGATGATTCCACCGCCACTGGATCCACAGGATTTTCCACCCACTGGCCTGTGATCTTCCTGTATTTGGCGTCATTGCATGTGTTACATGAGTCTGAACAGGAACCAGACTGGTATCAGACATATGGGCTAATATTGGACTTACAGACTGGATCTGGATATTTTCTTAATATACAATTCCTCTTTGATATAAAATTCTTTCCTATACATATGAGTCTCCCTAAAATTGTTTCTCTAGTCTACCTGGACTAACACATCTCACTTTCCTTATTTGCAAATTGGGGATGAGAATGGCATGTTATCTCATAAGGTTGTTATGAGGGTTAAAAGAGCTAGTACACAGAAAACACTTAAAATAGTGCCTGGTAGGGTAGTAGTACTCAGAGAGTATTAGTTGCTATGAAAATTTGAAAGTGTATCTGGTGCACAGTGATTAAGAACTCAGCTGCTAAAGAATGGCAGTTCAAATTCACCAGGTGCTCCACAGGAGAAAAAGGTGGCCGTTGGCTTCTGTAGACTGATAGTCTCTGGGACAGCTGACTGAATCACTACCATTGAGTCAATGCTGAGTCATAGTAAGCCCCTGTGGGTTTCTGAGACGGTAACTGTTCAGGGGAGTAGAAGGCTCGGTCTTTCTCTCTCAGAGCTACTGGCAGTCTCGAACTGCTGACCATTTGGATTGCAGTCCAACACATAACCACTGCACCACCAGGCCTCCTATGGGGCAGCTTCAGTCTGCCTGAACGGGTCACCAGGAGTCCGATTCCGCTTGAAGACAATGGGATTTGGTTTTTGTTTCAGCTGGGCTGTGCGACTTGTTTTTGTAGGTCAGTCTGATCGTTGTGATCTAGTGACTCTTCAATGAAGGTGAGCTATTTCTCCTTAGTCTCCCAATGGCGCCCAAACTGTGTGTGCGATGGGATTCTGTTAGTCTTCTATCTAGAGCGCGATGGA